AGGAGTACTGATCGGTATCAAAGTGTGCAATAGTAAGTAAGTGATTTGCTTCATCCATACCACATACAGCGTGTTCAAGCTCTTCTGCCCTGGGATTGTGAGCCCCGAGTTGCTTTTTGTCGCACAATGTTAGAAAGACACAGGAAAGATCCACAGTTCTTTGAAAAAATTTTATGGTCGGATGAGATCACATTTAAGAAAGATGGCTACATGAACCTGCATAACTTACACGAGTGGCACGTAGCAAACCCACATTTGATGAGAGAAGATAAATCTCAATATCGCTTCAAGATAAACCATTGGACAGGAATTTTAAATGGTAAAATAATCAGTCCGTTTGAGATCCCAGAGACTTTGACTGCTGAAGTTTATTTGAATTTTTTGAAAAATCATGTACAAAATTTATTGGTGGACGTGCCGCTGAGTATTTACAGGGACATGTGGTTTCAGCATGATGGCTGCCCAGCGCACTATGCACTCTCAGTGAGAGAGTATCTCGATCAAAACTTTCCAGGCAGATGGATAGGGCGGTCTGGTACAATACCGTGCCAGCCTGATCACCTGATTTGAATCCTTTAGATTTCTTTACTGGGGAACTGTAAAAGAAAAAGTGTATTTCAAGCCTATTCAAAATGTAGCTGAGTTACGGCAAAGACTATTGTAAGCAGCTGAGTTTGTTAATAACCGTGGATTCGCTCGTTATAACCCGATCTTTTTTAAGAAGGAAAACAGTTTGAGGATTTGCTGTAAAGGTAAATCATCATCAGCAGCATTTTGACGCCCACTGTTGTGCAAACAGTTATCTTTAAGGGTTCTTGTGCGTTTTCATAATCGCTGTTTAATTAGGAAATTTTGAAAAATTTTCATCAGTTTTTTTTTCAAATAAAATTGTGCATAAGTTAACGAGTAATCTTCTAAGTGTTATACCATTTTGGAATCGTTATTAAATGCGCCAACTTTTAAGGTTACTTGCCAAACTCTCGTAGTACATTTTTTTATAGTACAGTCAGTTAAAGTTGAGCAAAGTTTTACTTTGGAATACTTGGTTGGGAAATAAGTGGCAATTTTTCCTGAACGAGAAAAGTTGGCAGTAAGGTTGAGACACCAGTTTGAAGATGCATTATTCATCATTACATTGTAAAAATAACATCCAAAAAAAGTTAATATTTGTAGTAACAGGAGTTGACAGACTGCCGTAGGGTGTGAAATTTCTATATTTTTTTCAAAGACCTATAATTCTCAAAACACATAAATAAAATTTTTTTAAATATTTTTCTGATAGCTGTTATGACTTTGCCTATCACCCGGTTTCAGCTTGACGTCGACTTCTGGGACACCCTGTATAGGCGATTTTTGGTATATAAACTTTTTTTGAGTCCTACAAAACAGTTAAAATAAATGATGTATTTTTCCTTCATATGTCAAGGAAAGATAAATATGTAATTTATAAATTATAATAATAAACGTCTTTATTTCCAAATAGACTGATTATATAAAAAATAGACAAATACGGGCGAAGTTCAGCTGTAGCTGCTCTTCCACTTAACCCCTTACAGTTTGAAGATTCGGCGTACCTAAGTGAGCGTCCCTAGTCACGATTTGATTCCGCCTTTTGGAACGACGTAACACATCATTTTTCTCCGAAACCTCCAAAGAAGGCGTATGAAGTATACAGTCAATCTACTTGACGCCATTTTTTGTTCGACTCTTACATCTAAACTGGTGGACAATTGCTTTACAAAATGGAAAATCCTACCCAAATTCAAATCCGAAATTTTCGGAACGAAAGAGATATCGAGTTGCGCTATTCGGGAGGTTCTTCACCAGCTCCTTGTCGGATCCCCAATTTCAGATCTTGTCCATGTTTCTACCTGTATGCATCTTTTTGATATTTGGAATATTTCTATGACTTTTCTCCGGTTTCATCCTCACTACCTACACCTCAAACATGCAATTGCTCAGTAACAATAATATTGACTGTAGGCTTAACAGTATAATTTTATTTTCTCAAAAAGACCGAGAGAATTGTATAAGATCAAGGTCCTTTAGTGAATGATCTAGTTAAACATCATTGAGCATCAAGACAAAATGCTCCTCAACAATGGAGGAGCTGTCTGGGGCTATTCAGGAAGAGTGGGAAAATGTATCCCGAGAATTTATTTGTTACCTTCTGGAAAGTATCGTAGGCTGTGATCGATGGGTGACCCTACAAGGTACTAACAATATTGTTTAAAATAACTGTTGCTGTTTGTAAAAAGTTCGTTTTTGTCATGAATAAATAATTTGGGTATTTAACTGGTCTTCAGATTTTTGTTTTCTAAAATGTTACATTTTGTTAATGTAAATCAATAAATCCTTTGATGTAGTTTAAAAATTTAATAGAGTCTATTACCTGGAAAACATCTTCACTGAAGACGCGTACGCCAATTTTGAAAAATATATAGATTTTTTTAAATTAATAGCACTTCTTACCAAACCGAAAAATGCTTTTGTTGTTACGCCACTGGAATACACCCTATATTGAAAGTAGTAACTTGGATTTGTTGTTTAATTGCATTGTACAATTTATAAATTCTGTTTAAATTACATAATACAATAATAATAATAATAATAATAATGAAGTGTTTTTATTATTGTAAAATAACAAATATACAGGGTGACTTGTAATGCCACGTATTCCTGTTAAGGGGTGATAGATTAGGTCAAAAACAACCGATTTTGTCCTATAATGTCCTATCCAGAAGTTAACCGTTTTTGACTTATTTGAATTTTATTTTTTTTATTTTTTATTCCGATTTCAGAGTTAAATTTGGAATACAAAAAACGACATGTTTGATTTTGAGTTTTTTGTTATCGTCGCATAGCCGACATTCCAATAGTTCATAATAAGTGATATAATGTGGAAAACTTACAAAAGTTTTAAAATTACGCTTTTGAAACTTATTCGATAAAAATACAATTTTCTGTAAAAAATCTCCTAGTAATAAAATGTGCAAATTATGTAAATAATATCTCTATCTAACAAGCTTTCATTTGAGGTATAAAAGTTCCAACTAACTCAACTACAAAGACATAAAATTAAAAAAAAGATGAGTAAAGTTGTACGAACGATAACTACGTAGGATAAATAAAAAGGCTTTTAATTTAATTACATTTCCTTTAGTATTTTACAGATTCTGCTCAAATTGTAATCCCCTGTTACGAATACACGCCCGCATTCTCTTACGTAATTCATTTTTGGCAACTCTAGTTGTTAAGCGGCTTTTTATTTGGTCAGCTGTACTGACGGGCGAAACATAGTACACCAGGCTTTTCATATGTCCCCACACATAGTAATCCATCGGTGTGAGATCTGGGCTTCTTGCTGGCCAGGCAATGGGCCCGCCTCTGCAAATCCATTGATTTGGAAATTTAGAGTCTAAATACGCCCGTACTAATCTACTGTAGTGTGCGGGACAGCCGTCGTGCTGGAACCGCATATTTTGTCTCGCCGCCAATCGGACGTCTTCCATTAATGGAAACAAGTGATTTTTCAAGAACTCTTCATACACTTCTCCATTTCAATTGGCGGGCAGAAAATAAGGTCCAATTAAATATCCATCAATGATGCCCATCCACACATTGACTGAAAACCGGCTCTGAGACCACGTCGGTCTTATTTTTCGGGGGTTTAAAGCTTCTTTATCAGCCCAGTAATGAGAATTATGGTAGTTAGTGATCCCGTCCTTATCAAACTTCGATTCATCGGTCCACAGAATTTTCTTAAAATAGTCTGGATCTTCTGTATCTGCATGTAACATTTACCTGCAGAAATCTAATCGCCCTCTTCAATCACATGCACAGGCGTGTAGTGATAAGGGTATAATCTTGCAGTATGCACAATGAACCATACTTTGTATTGTGATATACCCAACTGAGCAGCCACAATGCGCGTAGACGTAGTAGGGTCTTCCTGAAACACACGAAGGATTTCCTCTTCATCTTCAGGAGGATAGACTCGGGGTCGACCAGCATCACTATGTTGCCTTTGAACACGTCCGGTTTGGCGAATGCGCCGATACACAGAGTCAAACACAGTAACATGAGGTGTTCGGCGATTCGGGAAACGTTGCCGATATTCACGGCGGGCAGCTGCAGAACCGCCGTTACAAAGTCCATAACAGAACATTATGTCTGCGTATTATTCATTTGTAAAAGTTTGCCCTTGTTCGCTATGGCGAGGTCCTGGTCTTCTGCGTCTGCCGTGATGATAAAGAAACCACTCGAAATGAACTGGGAAACTCGAAAATAATAATCGTGCGTAAAACGTGTGCACGTACGCAGTAGTAGATACCAACTAAACCTAATTCTCACTCGGCGTGCGGCGATGGCGTAACTACAATGATGAATAATAACAGCTCTCTCTCTCTCACTCCTCCACTAAGTCAGCTCTTCTCGCTCGCTTCCTCGTCGAGCCGATGCCATAAAACAATCATGGCATGCGAGTCCTTTGAGGACAGTAACGACTTGTTCAAACAGGTAATACAAATTCCTTAAAAATCCAGCCTCTGTGGGTGTCATTGTTGTTTCTCTGCATGTACTTCTGATAATTGAACGCTTAATACCTCAAGTGAAAGCTTGTTAGATAGAGATATTATTTACATAATTTGCACATTTCATTACTAGGAGATTTTTTACAGAAAATTGCATTTTTTATCGAATAAGTTAGTAAAAAAAAGAAAATTATGCATTTAAAAAGAGTAATTTTAAAACGTTTGTAGCTTTTCAACATTTTATTACTTATTATGAACTATTGGAATGACATAGCCCCAAACTTTGCTAAAAAAAACATGACTTACTTTTGCTCACCCTGTATCAATTGATAAATAAAAGAAATATACCGATCGAACCCTGTACGTTTTCTCAAAGAGTTGTTGAAGAACCTCCCGAATACCGCAACTCGATAACTCTTTCCGCCCGAAGCAATCGATATATGAATTTGGTTAAAACAATTTATTACAATGTCTCTCGTATTTTTACAGGACGACTTCCTCCTGCGGCACTACGACCGCGGCCCGTGCAAAAACAAGCTCGGTCACTCCCGCGCCTCCGTTCTGTGGCATCGCACGCAAGTGGTCGGCATCTTCGCCAGCTTCGGCATCCTGCTTCTGGTCGCTTCGCCGCTCCTGTTGTTAGCTGCGCCGTGTATCGCATGCAGCCGGTGTCGACTCTGCAACGCGGACGGCTCCTCTTCGCGGCTCAGCGAGGACGACGACAACGAGGGGGCGGAGCGGAGAAATTCGATGGTCGGAGCGCGTAGGCGGAGCCAAGAAGACACGCCCACCGGGGGCCGATGACCACCGCCCATTAACGAGGCGGGTCTGACCAGCTGCCCCTGGTGCTTGTGAGGACACGCTGTTCGTACGACGACGTCACGACCGGAGACAGAAATTGGCTGTTATATGAGGTAGATAGTTTAAGATCTTGTTATGTAGTCATTGATTAACATATTCCATATAATTGAAAGTAGTGCCTGCGCGAAAATAAGCCTACGTACCAGCTTGCGAACGAACTAGTTTCATCGAACAATTTTTTACGATTGAATTAAGTGAACTAGTTCATCATTCCTTGAAAAACTCGTTCACTGGTATTAGAGGATCCCGATGATTCTATCGAACTAGGTGTGAGTGAATGAATGAGATAGAAGAAATAAGTCGGAACACCACCGTAAACAGAACGTTATAGAATGTGTTATTTAAACACGTGGCCAAACTTCAGGTGGTGATTATATGAGTAATTTTAAGTTGAAAAGTTTGTAAAAAACATAGGTCCAGAAATTCTTCATATTCAGATACAGGGTGTTAAACTTTTTGAAAAATCGTTTTTCCCTGAATATCGATAATTTAGCGGTAGCATTAAGAGCAGTAAAACACCCTGATCAATATCTTCGACAAAAAATTTATACGTCACTGACGTTTTTCCATTCTATTTTTTCGGATTAAGCAGCTAAAAATACAACTATTTTGTCTTTTGAGTTTCTTTATATGTATATCACTTGTTTTTTTTTTTATATCGAAACAGCCGCGCAGGCAGAAGTCTAAATGCCGGAACACCGCGGCTGCTATGATGATCCCCCAAAGAAATTTTGTTAATACGATTTTTGAACTGCCTAAGGTTAGTAGAACTGGGAAAAGCTTCCTCCCGTAGATTGTTCCACAACCTAGACACCCTCGGGACAAAGAAGCGGTCGTATCGGCCAGTTCTGGATGTACGAAGTTCGACACGATTAGGATGGGACGCCAAAGTTAGGTGGGTCTGTCTGGCAGGCACATCGCGCGACGGCATCATGGAAGAGAGCTCCGAGGAGCAAACCCCGTTGGTGTAACGGTAGAAAAGAGCCAGATCGCCGACAGCCCGCCGGTGCGAAAGAGTCCCGAGACTGTCTGTTAGAGAAGAGTCATCGATCAGTCGGACCGCCCTCCTCTGGACAGCATCGAGCATGGACAATGTAGTCGGGGCAGCAGTACCCCAAATGTGTGAGCAATACTCGAGACTAGGCCTTATCTGGGCCTTGTATAGAGTGAGAAGGTCATGCGGAGAAAAGTACTTCTTAGCCCTAAACAAATAGCCTAGCTTTTTCCCAGCAGCTGCAGCTATTGAAGAGATGTGTTCGTGCCAGATCAGGTCCTCGGTGATCTGGACTCCGACCAGCCGAAATGAATGGCTCTTTGGTAGAACTCGGCCGTCCATCGAAACTGTATGAGCGCTAGGACGCTTTTTGTTCGTCAAAGTACAGTACTGTGTTTTGGAAGCATTGAACTGTACAAGATTGTTGCGTCCCCAAGTAGTGATAGCCTCCAGGTCTCTTCTCAGAGAAGAAGTCGTCGCTAGTCTTCTTTTTTCCAGCTCAGCGGCAGATATCGGCTTGTCACTCTGAGTTCCTGCATGTAGAGTGCTGTCATCAGCGAAGCTGTGGATTGGGTTGATCGTGCAGGAAAGGAGGTCGTTGATATGTAAGAGAAACAGTGTTGGAGCCAAGACCGATCCCTGGGGAACACCCGCGTTGACGTTGTGGGATGAAGAGGAGAATCCGTCAATTACGACGGATATCTTGCGCCCAGAGATAAAGTCAGCCACCCATCTGCAAAGCTTTTCTGGGAGGCCGTAGGATGGAAGTTTGCTTAAGAGGGCAGCGTGCCACAGCTGATCGAACGCTTTTGTGATGTCAAGAGCAACGACATGAGCCTCACCATGAGACTGGATGAGTTTACTCCACAGTTGCGTGACGTAAGCTAGGAGGTCCCCTGTGGATCGTTGGTACCGGAAACCGTACTGCCTGTCGCTAATCAAGCTGTGACGTTCGAGGTAGTCCAGAAGCTCGCGATTTATGCACCTCTCCATCACTTTACTTACAACAGAAAGCAGAGCTATAGGCCTGTCGTTGTAAGGGTCGGTCTTAGATCCTTTTTTTGGGATGGGCTGTACATGAGCAAATTTCCAGTTTTCTGGGAAGGTGCCGGATTCATAAGATATCTGGAAGAGACGCGAAAGAACTGGAGCAAGCTCCGCTGCACATCTCTTCAGTACAATGGCAGGAATCAAGTCCGGACCAGAAGCTTTGTTGTTGTCGAGCGACAAGAGCACTCGTCTTACGGTCTTATGCCTGAATGTTACCTCCCGCATAGTGTGGGGAACCCTTTGAATTGACGGCACTTGGGCGTTGGTGGGGACGTCCATGGTGGAGTTGGCAGCAAAGATCTTGGCTAGCACTTCCGCCTTGGCCTTTGAGTCGAATACAATAGTTCCATCCTGACACGTAAGTGGTGGAAGGCTACTGTGTGAGAAGTTCTTTTCAATCTGCTTGGCCAGCGTCCAGAAAGACCGACTGCCATTGCGCTGCGACATTACCATGTGCCTAACTTTTATATCATGCTGGTTTTTGGCATTGCGAACCGCTTCGTTATATCTGTTTCTGGACTCGACGTCGGCTTGTCTGTTCTCTACAGTGGGGTTTTGTAAGTAGGTTCTGTGGGCCTTGATCTTCTGCTGGCGAGCAGTGTCACACGATTTGTTGAACCAGCCGTTGGACCCTGGTTTAGGAACTTTCACTGTGTGAGGGATGTATTCCTCCATTCCGACGTGGATAATTTCGGTTATTGAAGAACAGACAGTCGACGCATCCGCGTCAGTGAAACAGACATCTCTCCAAGGAAAGCTAGAGAAGAAGTCTCTGAGCCCCTCCCAGTCGGCATGTCCGTAATGCCAAGTTTTGCGGCCTGTGCGAGTTTCTGCTGCCACAGCGGCTTCTGACCGAAACCTAACCTCCACAACACCGTGATCTGAGTTACCCAGGGGGGACAGGACAGCAGTGCTGTAAGGGGCAGGATGCGTGGTCAGAAAGAGATCCAGCAGGCTACTGGAGTGACGAGACGCGGGGAAAAAAAGTAGGACTCGTCACCAGCTGGGTCAGCCCTTGAGTAAGAGCGAACGCTTCGACTGCACGACCTGCTGCATCGGTCTTATTTGAGCCCAACCAAAGCTCATTATGGGCATTGAAATCACCGAGAAGAACTACCTCTGAAGCGAGGTGATTGATGTTCAGGAAGTCGATCTGGATGGAGAGGTATTCGAGTAGGTCATCCCAGTTATGGTTCGAGGGAGAGCGATAAAGGCAGCAAATAAATTTGGGTGATGTTTTGGAGTTGAGGCGAAGCCACAGAATGTCCTTCCCGTCTGATTCCAAAGAAAGATCCCTGGAGCAGGAAAGACTGCTGCGGACAAAAGCCACAACTCCCCCGTTCTTTCTCAGATTGGAGTGCACCTTGTAGTTTGGGAAGTTGAGTTGGTTAATCGGTGCAGTCTCTGAGATTTTTGTCTCCGCCAAGAAAAGCACGGCGGGACGATTGGATTGCAGGTAGTGATGAACAGTATTAATGTTGCTGTTGATCCCGCAGATGTTCGAAAAACAAATTTTATCTTCGATGTTGTTCCCTCGAGCCCACCCTCCACCCGGACATTCCGAGAGTGGAGTGAGTTTACGTCCGGAGTTTTTAGTGCTCGAGGGATCCATCATCATTAATTTCTTTGTTTTAGGTGTGGAAACATGCGGACATTTATAAGACACCCTGGGAAAAGCTAGCGGGTGGTACTGCCTCGGTCGACTGGTCCTTGTCTACCACATTCTTTTTACGTGTTAGTGATGTTAAATAGACCTAAAGTGGCCCGTTGGCGGACTTGTACCGCCACCCGGCAATCGGTACTGAGGTATTCCTTAACGCGTGCACAATCACTTGGACGGGAAGAAGTTGTATACTGGATACAACAACTTCCGGAACAAGCATTTGCCACGGCCCTCGTTCAGTAGGGGTTGGTTTAACATAAGAAAACAACATATTCAAATTCTTTTATTAGGTCCGAACACTATACATAAGTATAGAGAGGAACATGTCACATGTGTAACACAGAATATTTCAAAAAGTCAAGATGAAATAAAAAACAAACTAAAAGAACAACAAACAAACTGAATATAGAAAATGTAAATCATGTATGTGAATGCCAAGTTAATTGACCTCCTTACAATTGAATTATGTCAGGTCGTTCAAAACCACAAGGAACTCATCTATGCTGTAGAAAGGGTTAGATAAGAGCATCGTCTTAAGGTGTTTTTTAAGAGTTTAACAGATTCTGGTAAATAATTGTAACGGGTGCTTTTTTAAGAGCCTTTTTTTGAAATATTGAATAAAAAAGCTAAAAATGCATTATGTTTACAAAATCCATATTGGAATCGATAAACTGGTTCTTGTCATTTACTTTTTAAAATGTCCATTGTTTCACGTGCTGTGTGGTATGTGACGCCGTCTTGTTGAAACCACATGTCAACCAAATCAGATCATCCAATGTGTGTAAAGAAAAACGGCTCGATAATTCCACCAGCCCATAAACCACACCAAACTGATGCTTTTTCTGGATGCATGGGCAATTCTTGTATAGCCTTATCACACCAGATGTGGCAATTTTGCTTGTTAACATATCCATTTAACCAAAAGTGAGCCTCATCGCTCAACACAATTTTTCGATAAAAGCAGTTGCAAGGCCCAATCACTAAAAATTATTAATAATAATTTTCTACAACCAGTCGTTTATTGTACTTTGCTTTTGCAACAACAGGTTTATGAAATTTCTATCTCGTATTTTATTTACGACTTCGACAATTGATATTAAGCCGAGCTAATGCTTGCGATGAGGGCATTTTCAGCAACTATTATAACTATAAATGTTTTTATTGAAACAAAAGTTTAAGTGTACCTAGTTTAAAAAAAAAACATTTTCCCGGTCTATTTTTTTTAATTTCCAGCGC